GCGGGAGGTCGTCGGTTCGAACCCGGCCATTGGCTTCGTGTTTTGACAACGCAACTTTTTCGGCATCGCAGGTCGACTGTGAAAATGACAGCTGCGAGATTCGAACTCGCGCCCTTTCGGACTAGCGCCTTAGACTGCTCGGTCAAGCTGCCCAGTGGCTCTTGAGGTGGCCTTCTTTCTGGTTGCAGATGAACCGGGCGCTGCGACGCAGCACCAACAACATTTGACAGCTGTGGGGTTCGAACCCACGCGGATTGCTCCACCAGAACTTGAGTCTGGCGCCTTAGACCGCTCGGCCAAACTGTCGTATTGCAGGTTGCCTGAACTCTTCCAATGGACTCAGCGACAAGGGTCCATGTAGCGACGCAGCTCGAAAACGCGACACCGAAGGGATTCGAACCCTCGCGGGCAGAGCCCAGTGGATTTCTAGTCCACCTCTTTAACCACTCGGACACAGTGTCGTTACTATCTAGTATCGTTTGCTCATCCTGTCCCATTGCGTTCTTTTGAGAATGTGACTATAGACTCAAAAAAGTTGGGCTTTGCCGGGGATCTTCTGAGATTGTGACTACAGAGTCAAAAAGTTTGGGCTTTGCCGGGGATCGAACCCGGGACCTCCCGCACCCGAAGCGGGAATCATACCACTAGACCACAAAGCCTTGTCGATAGCGGAGTGCGAGAGCAATCCCTATTGGTTCTTCGAAAGTTGGCCTCTACTAGCGCAAGCCACGTGGGATAACTTCAATGACCACTTCAGTTTCAGGTGCTTGCGAGGCAGCACTGGTCTAGTGGTGATGACGTCCGCCTAACACGCGGAAGGTCCCCAGTTCAATCCTGGGATGCTGTATTTCTATTTTTGTTCAACAATAAAGTGTGGAGGAAACATGAAAATGAGGCCAGAGAGATTCGAACGCCCAACCGTCTGATCTGGAGTCAGACGCGCTACCGTTGCGCCATAGCCCCTTTTTACATCCTCTCGTCTAGTGCAGTCTTGTTCACATGGCATCTTCCGACCTTCCGGGAAAGAGGCAGCAAAAAGCTCCCAGGCGGATTTGAACCGCAATCGCTGGAGTCAGAGCCAGAGTGCTAACCGTTACACCATGGGAGCCCCACGAGTCTTGAGGAATCGCTGGAGTCAAAGTCATGCCCTTGAGATATAGAAAGGAAAATTGGGATCACGAATAAATGGAGAACCTGGGCATCGATCCCAGTGCCTCTCGCATGCTAAGCGAGCGCTCTACCATTTGAGTTAGATCCCCTGTTGTGAGTAGGGAACGTGAGAGGTAAGGGCCCGGGACACGCCATGCAGTGCGAAGCACTTCAAAAGCACATGTTGGTGGTGAATGGCAATATGTCCCATACGGGGCGCGACCCCGCGACTTTTGGCTCATAAGACCAACGCTCTAACCACTGAGCTAATGGGACGCATGATACTGCAATGCGGCAGGCTGTCTATGTGAGCCGGCAGAACCACAATCACCCTGCAGGCGAAAAGTCCACTGGACACCCGGAATCGAACCAGGGACGATTCGATGTCTGCATCGTCTACAGTCGAACGCTCTACTAACTGAGCTATGTCCGGCAACACTTCCACCTATCAGGAATCGCTAATTGGGTGTGGACGACTTTGCGAGTGCGAGTCGAGGACGTCAACAACGATAATGTCCCCGGTGAGGATCGAACTCACGACCTCAGGACTATGAGGCCTGCGCGCTAACAAACTGCACCACAGAGGCCTGGTGACTCCCTGGAGCAGTGGTAGACCTATACCGGCTGTCGTTTTGTGCGCTTTTCTAAGCGAGGGAAGAAAGCTGACCCCGGCAGGACTCGAACCTGCAATCTCCGGTTCTGTAGACCGATACCTTATCCATTGGGCCACGGGGCCTTCGCAACAAAATGCTATTCCTCTTTCTGGGACTTAAGCGTCCGAGTGACGTGTAACGTTTCCCTTGGCATCCAGTTAAAGAGCCGCTTCACGCTGTCATGTACAAACGCCGATGTAGCTTAGTGGTAAAGCATCTGCTCCGTAAGCAGGAGGTCGCGGGTTCGATCCCCGTCGTCGGCTTTGTGTTGACACCTGGGCGTGCAAGACGCATTTGCATGGCCCAAGTGCTGCAGATCCGAATGGCGACAAAGCTTCGTTGGTCTAGTGGTTGTGACGCCTGCTTTACACGCAGGAGGTCGGCGGTTCGATCCCGCCACGAGGTATTTGCGTCTGCGAATGAAAACGCCAAGACGCAAAAGCTCCCAGGCGGATTTGAACCGCCATCGCTGGATTCAAAGTCCAGAGTGCTAACCGTTACACCATGGGAGCGCCTGCAGGTGCAGAAAACTTGCACTGCAAGATCTCCTGCAGCACGTTTGGAAAATTCGGCGGAGTGTCACAAAGGGCTGTTCCGGGGTTCGAACCCGGGACCTCCTCGACCCAAACGAGGAATCATACCTCTAGACCAAACAGCCGTTTTCTTAATGGGAGGATGGCGACTCTAAATGGGCGTGGACCTGGTGGCCCCAGTGGAAGGTGGAACCTGCTAGCGTCTAACAAGGCAAGCCCCCAACGTGGCACTCACGTCGGCTGTTTTGTCTAGTGGTATGATTCTCGCTTAGGGTGCGAGAGGTCCCGGGTTCAATTCCCGGAACAGCCCTGTGTATGTTTTTGCTGCTCGAAATAGCGTTTTCGTGCTTTCCCGCGTTCCGGTTTACTGGAGGAAACAGAACTCGGCAGTGCGATCCGCACGCACGTAGAAACACTCACCCCTGCCAGGACTCGAACCTGGAATCTTCGCCTTAGGAGGGCGACGCCTTATCCATCAGGCCACAGGGGCCGTACCGCTTGCAGCGAAACGAACTTCCAGGTAGAGACCTCTGCGGAAAGGCTTGAGACGACCACAAAATCTCTGTGCACCAACCGGGAATCGAACCCGGGTCCCAAGCATGGGAAGCTTGGATGCTACCACTACACCATTGGTGCGTGTGCCGTTAGAAAGCACGTTTTCCCGTGGATGCTATGGCGGACCGCCTATGTCGAAATGCGTGAGTGTCAGCTATGGGGTTCGAACCCATGCGCAGTTACCTGCAGTGGATCTTAAATCCACCCCCTTAACCACTCGGGCAAACTGACAATTTCGATTTCAGAAGGAATTCGCTCTGGGTGAATTTTCTCGAAGCGAGCATTGAAAACGCCGTGAAGCGCGAGTGAAAAAAAAGCGCCCGATGTGGGGCTCGAACCCACGACCACCAGGTTAAGAGCCTGGCGCTCTACCGACTGAGCTAACCGGGCTTGTTGACTTCACTGAATTTGATTGACAGTATACAGAGGTTCCAAAAGCAGACACGGACAGATAAAAGAAGAAATGGACGCGCCAGCACAGGTGGATGACAACTGCTTCGCTGCGAATGTGTGGTAGTTCCTCATATTCCAGACGTGCCTCGAGATTGCTTGCCGCACCACGGACAAAATGACAGGAGTGGGGTTCGAACCCGCGCTCTTCCGAACTAGCGCCTGAAGCCAGCGCCTCAGACTACTCGGCCATCCTGCCTAGTCTCCTTTTGATTGCGGGGCAGTAATTGTAAAGGTGGAAGAACATGTCGCGGATAGCTGGGACTCATCGGGACCCACGTGCTTCCCAAATGTCAACTTCCGCGACAGTATAGTGGTTAGTATATCCGCCTGTCACGCGGATGACCCGGGTTCGATTCCCGGTCGCGGAGATTATTGCCTACGTGCGGTTTCGCACAGCAGAAGGAAAATATATTTGACAGGAGTGGGGTTCGAACACACGCCCTTTCCGACTAGCGCCTTAAGCTAGCGCCTTAGACCACTCGGCCTTCCTGCCATTGATGCAGATAAATCAGTGGAAAAGGTCGGTTCACGGAAATTTGTGGGGAGAGGCAACACTGGCGCCAAAGAAGCGACACCAAAGGGATTCGAACCCTCGCGGACAGAGCCTTGTGGATTTCGAGTCGACCTCCTTAACCACTCGGACACAGTGTCTTTAGAGGCAGATAGGCCGTCCAGAATCTTACGACATAGCACATCTGGATGGCCCGCGTTGCAAGGAATTGTTGAACCAGCAGAGGGGCGCCAGGAGAAATGAACACGCTTCGTTGGTCTAGTGGATATGGCGCCCGCTTCACACGCGGGAGGTCGGCGGTTCAATCCCGCCACGAAGTATTGTTTTGTATTTGGT